TTGAATAGATATGGCCGGAATGTACAGCGTTTGCTTTGTTTCCAGGCAAAAAGCCATGAATAGTCATTTCAGGATTACCGTGTTTATGACACTTGTAAATTGATTTATGGTATTAGCCAAGCCGGGTATCTGAACAAAAGCCTTTTAATTTCCTTTGTGTTGATCCTTTCTGGGTCTCAGGGTGCTGGGGAATTCACATAACACTTCAGGCTTCCGGGGACGCCCTCCCCCTAAGTCCTGACTGGGGATGGTGTACCCTTGCCTGACAGTCACAGACACAGTAGTTTCATCAAGGGACGCCTGCAGCCAGAGGGACGTGCAGGTGACACCCAGCCCCTCGGGGGCGCGGATGGCCTTAGACACGAGCTGGCTCCTGGCAGCTCCGTGGTTCTCCCGCCCTCGGGTATGGAAAGAAAGTAAGATTTAAACAATCCAAGGTAGGCCCAGCCCCAGACTCACAAACCCATTCAGTTATTTTTAAAACTACACCTGGGACGTCGGTATCATAACGTGCCCGTTCCTGCTGACTGTAGAAAACACTGCTTCCCGACTAGACACACATGGTTTGACATTGCGCACTGCGAGTGCTCCCGATTTCTGGCATTTCCAGCGGCAGGAGCAGCGCAACGCCGGTTCTGGGGAGCAGTGTCGGCTCGGCAGCTGGGAACCCCTGCCTCCGGCAGACGTGGCAGCTTCTCTTCCAAGTGGGCCCCGCACGTGTCTATGAGTGGCCACTGGCGGGACATGCCCAGGCTGCGTGCGGAGCACGGCGCTCAGGTCCAATGACCACCCCAAACGAGCTGCCTTTACACGGCTTTTGATCCATTCACTCGCTGGGCAGATTCTGTCCCTTTTAGAATGAAGTAGACATCTATTCCGAAATTTGGGCATAACAATTTGTGTTATATTGTTTGCTCAAAGGAAAAAAGAAATGTTTACAATCCAGTAGGACCAGTGGAGCACCGTAGGTTTTGAGTCAGCATGACACAGTTACTGTCAGGTGTATAAAACCGTGTTGTTGGGGAATCCTGAGTGCTCAGAATATGTTAGTAATTGCCAGAGACCTTTAAACTAATCGTAAAATACTTGGCGTTTCTCTCCTGTTCAGAGGGGTGGGGCATGTGGACACCATTAGCATAAGGTGGCGATGTCATCTTAACCCGCTGTGTTCCTTATGCCTTATTATACGTCATTATTGGGCTGGAAAGCAGACTCCAGTGGGAACATAACACCAAATGAAGAATGTCTGTGTTCAGCTGGCAGGTCCCCTGGGCTGGCCCCTCTGGGATGGTGGCCCTTCCCGTTTGGAGGCTGGCTGGCTTTGCAGATGGGCCAGCATCTGATGTCCCCGCAGGCTCGTGTCCTCTAGACCAGGCAGGGTTCCAGCAGAGAGAGGGAGGGCGTGCAGGTCCTCGGGGGCCTGAGCTCAGCCCCTGCCGCACCTCAGGGTCCACCAGGTTTAAGAAGCAAGGAGTTGGCGTCTTGGGGGGAGGACGTGTGACGCGTGGGGGTACAAGGAGGTAAGAAGAAGGGAAGACGTCTTGCAATCAGCGTACCACACTCTCTTTTTAGAGCATTTAAAATAAAATCAATTAACATCATCTCGCCACTAAACACTTGTGAATAGTCTTTTATTTATTTTTTAACTCATTATGATTTTGCAGCTCTTGTAGAAGCCATACACGTTAACCGTGCTCTTTGGATGAGAACATTATTACTGGAGGCTGTGTCCCAATGACCACCATCACCACCACTAGCGGTGGCGAACTTCGTCACTGGCATGTGTGCCAGACACCCATGTCAGCAGCTGTCACACTCACCTGGAGAGGTGAGCGGGGAAGGCTGGTGGCCCTGCCGAGGCCACGTGTCCCCGCACCCTGGATGCACTGACTCTGCTTTTAGTCACCACAACATATCACTCTCCTGTCAGGGGCCAGGAGGCCACACAGTTCGTCTGCATTTACTGGGAGTCCGGGTAGAACGGGTAGAGGCTAAGCCAACGCTCGTTTCCGTTTCTCAGAGAAGGAGCTGGATCTACGCTAGGGGTGTGGTTGTTTCTAGATTTATCCCAGTGGGGCTGTTTGAAGACCGTCGTGAGGTCACTTTGCGATGTGGATCATGTGTGGGGGCGGGGGAGGCTCTTGTTCTGGAGAAACCAAGAGCTGTCGTTTCCTGTCACGTTGGACGTGGTCGCATGTGACATGTTTCTGTCCCCTCTGGAACCAGGGTGTCCTGAGTCCTCGGCCCCGAGGAAAGCCAGAGGCGCTGAGGCAGCCGGAAGGGTCAGCATTGGTGACACTGAGGCATCTGTTTCCTTTTGAGTCAGGTGTCCGGGATAGCAGGAAGATTTAACCCGATTGGTCCAGATTCATGGATATTGCAATAAATATTCTTTTTTTGAGCAGTCGGTGTCATTAGCACCAAGCAATTAGATATCAGCTTTATGTACCTTGGGTCTCAAAAATATTCTAGTGTATTTTGTTCTTGTCTTAGTGTCAGCCCCATCCTGAGTTTCCATAAATGCCTTCATCTTTGAGGACTGGTGTGTGGCATTAAACTCGTATATTTTGAAAGATAAATGGGGATATAATTTTATTGCTGTCTTTCTGTTGCAAAATGTAATTACTAAACAGTATGCCCTTTATACATCTGACAGTGAAATTATGACCAACCTTCTCTTTGCAAACCTGAAAGCTATTTTGGGGCTGTTGTCATCATCTAATGGAGTCTTGCTTCCAAGGGGTCACATTTTTACTTCCAGTGGTTTTCATGTAACAGCCTCTTCACATGGAAGTTTCGGGTAAATTGAAGCCAATCCCCGCAGGAGAGCAGGCCCGCTGTAGAGTTAACCATTATTTATATCCCAGAAACGGCTGCGGTCATCAGTATTTGTTATGCCTCTTCACTTACGGACTTATTGTAAGCCAGGGTTAGGGTTCAGTGTGGCCCCCTTTTATGGGAGAGAATTTCTTGGCTCAAGACCGTGTTGTTAAAACCACTGAAATTCCAAAAGTCAGAGCATCGCTATTGAACAATCAGTGCCTGGGCGATTAGAGACCGTTGAGCGCGTAGCCTAAGTCAGGACATAGCGTAATTAGAGCTGAGTCTGTCCTCACTTATTTGGCTGCCTAGTATTTTTGTTCTCTTATTTCAGGGTAGGATGATATATTAATCTGGAAATATGGTCTCCTAATAGCATCATGCTTTTCAAAGCCTTTTCCTTCACAAATAGAGGACAGCTCATTAACAAAATACATGAGATGCCCTTAAAGGAATCAGCACTGAATATTAATGGAATAGACTAGTAAATAATAGATTGCAGGTAACGGGTTATATATAACTATAAACAATGAGTTCCAATTACTATTCTTAGAGTGTTTCAGAAGAGAGAGGGATAGGGAAATTCAAAGGAGAAGGCATTCATATTTTCTTCTGACTTTCCATCTTAGAAATAGCTAAATGGTTCAGTATCTCCCAACTGTGTACAAATATGTATAACTCAGTTTTTGTTCTTAGGCAATGTTCTACTTTTCATAATGAAAGCAATTTTTATCACATTTTGTTTTGTTGATTAGAATAATTCATTATACCAGGAAAGTGAGTGTCAACATAATAACACAATTGAAAATATTTTTAATTATCAGTGTAAGTTGTCATTTTAATAAATATTCTGAGCCACATGAGGATAGTTTTTTCCTATTTCCATTTTACAGATGGGTCCTTTGAGATCATACAAAATAGAGTAATGCTATCACTCTAATTCAAGAACAAAGATTCACATTTCTTTGTGGGGGAGTATTTCCTTCATGATCAATATAACTTTTCAGACTTTCAAAATGACAAAATAAGACAGCAAAATGGCAGCATTTGTTACTATTTCAAATTTGACCTACTGTCTACATATGTGAAAGGTGCTGGTCTATTATCTCTTCAAATGCAGCCTGAGGTGAAATGCAAAAAGCCCAGAGGGTGACCTGTTAGCTCAGTTGGTTAGAGCGCGGTGCTGATAGCACCAAAGTTGCCAGTTGGATCCCTGCATGGGCCACTGTGAGCTGAGCCCTCCTTTAGAGATAACTATGTTATTGTAGCATGAAAGCAATGTGTAACCAATGACCATGGCTGTTCCCAGTTAGGAAAAAAAAAAAAAGCCCAAATACTCGGAACTAAATAGACATCGAATGGTTTGTCTGACTGTACCATTATTAATTTCTCATCAGTTCTCAGTGAATAAATAGAGTGGTTTTCATGAAAAAGGAAGTTATATATTCAAAAAACTAACGGCATTTGGGAGAAATTTATTTTTAAAAATACATTATAAATAATGTTTATATGTCTGTTACCACAGTGTTTCAGGAAACTTAAAATTGTGAGAGAAAGTAAAGAAAAATTGGCATTTTAATCTTTATTCTATATCTGTAAGCTTGGGAATGCATAGATACTCTGCTTCAGTGGAAAGCAGCGGACATGGTCACCTCCCTACTTGAACAAAACCCAAGTTTGCAAATGTCTGTTACAGAGGCTGGTTCTTATCCATTCGTCCTTCGTTTTTCTGTATCTCACCATTTACCTTCTGTTGGTGTGATAACTTTGGATATGAGAAGTTATTTTATCAGAAAAATCAAAGATTAGATGTGTGATGCTTACTAAATGACTTATATGGGGTCAGATGCCTGAGATAAAGCATCAATTGAAAAGGAGCCACCTTGTGAATGAAATGGACTCAGTGAAGTTGTAGTCGTGTGGGCTAGCATGCCTCCAAGGAAAACTGACAGAAAAGTGTGATCTATTGGAATGGTTTATGGTTTACAGTGTAACATGTATCAGCTGTTCTTTAAAAGAAGGGAAAAACTAATTATGTTTATGGGGGAGTTATTAAAGAACAGTCTCATAATGAGGAAAATTATTACCAACAGAAAAATATATTTAACTTCTGTTAGGTCGATATTTCAGAATGTGTGAGCTTAGAGTCTACGGTATTCTGTTTCTCTTTGAATTTCCAGGTTAACCCCATTCTCTTCAGCTGTAAGCCAAAAGAGGAGCCATTCCAGTTTTCGTTCTGAGTTTCCTCCTTCCCAAAGAGCAATGGAGACGCTGTTAAGTGGGAGAGGACTGATCCTATCTCTGATTTTCTTCCTGTTCAAGTTCTCCATGGCCATCGAAATACCACTTTCAGGTAAAACGACAGCATTCAATACCTACTTCATGGAATTTCGTATTTGCATTTTGATTTTTAAGTGGAATACTTAGAGATTGAGGATGTGTTTTTCTACCATGTTTCTGCATGTTTCCCAGCAACCTGTCATCAGAATTAATCTCTGCCTTTTCCACTTAATGGATGGCTCGTTTTTGCTGCTTGCTGTAATTCTTTTCAGCTCCGGCCTTTTGCCTCTCGTGAAGTCTTGCATATAACAAGCAGCCTAACCTATAGTTCAGGTGGTATGTTGCCATATGAGATGGTCTCTGCAATATAACAGCTGTTATTTCTACATACTCAGCTCAGTTTCTTTAGGGACAATTATGATTTAGAAATTATGGGTAAGTCAACCAGTTATGACAAAAAAGGAACTGAATAAACTTTGATTCTTTTTCAAAATGATTATATATTTAAGAATTAAAACAATGAATTAGGAAAATATCGAAAACCATTTTTTTATTGTACAGCTAAAAATAAGATGATATCAACTGAAAATCTAGAACATTCTGTAGTGGAAATTCATATCAAGAGGTTAGTCAGTGGAAATACATATCTTAGCATGTGTTGATAAAAATGATGCAGATTTTTAAACATCATAAATCAGTTTGAATAAGGGATAGTAATTAAAAGTTTAAAAATAATGTCTGAAAACACAATTTATGTAATAGTATCTCAACTAGGTCTGGTAAAGATTTGGGGAATTCCTCGTGTTATCAGCACCTGGAATACAGAAGACCCTTGAGAGTTTAGTTAGCTATTTAGTCCATATAGTTCAAGCCTCGCCCTACTATCTTGTCCATATAGAGTGTGGAGAGTTATATACCAGGGGCATTGGTTGTTTATTCAACTCTTGGCGTTGGAAAGGACCTTGCAGATCATGGAAGTTCTAGACAGTTAGCCTTGGCCTCGGAAAGTTGACTAAATGTTAGGGAGGTAGTAACGCTGAGCTGAGCCTTTTCTTCTGAAGAGTTGGTCTGGATGTGAGGAGAGGCAGTCACCTGACTTATAATGTGTCTTATAGCCGTTTGCTGAGGGCTGCCTTAAATGCCATGCGGTGGCGCCCACATCACACACTTTGTTGACCCCCAGGTAACAGCCCCTTCTCGACTCATGGTGAAAGGTGGCCAAGTCTCTGTCCATATCCCCACTCCTCACGCAGCCCACCACCCACTCTGCAGATGTCCAGACTTAAAGATCCCATTAAGTGAAGCTACAACCCGTTGGCCTCCACGCAATACACACCAGCCTTGTTGCCGAAATTCTGGTGAAAGCCAGATACAATTCATCTCTAGCAGGTTCTTTTGGGTTGAGTTGCAATCCCACATGAAGACCAGGTTCTTTGTGATCCTCGTGGAAAAGGGGTTAATGTTTTACATTCTCCCCGGTAGCGGTACGGCTACACTGGGTTTCCTGACCGGATTCTCTGAGAACAGGCGTTTCTTCGCCATCTTTTCTCATTCAGCTCACCGGTGGTGAAGGACGTGAAATTCCGTGTTAATCCATAGCACACATTTTTATTTTGGCGTCTCAGCTGCTGATGCGTTTTCATGCTGTGCTATCCTTTGACAGCAGCTGTTATGAAATATTCATGATGTGTTTTCAGAATGACTGAGCATGACCCATTCCTTTCGGTACTCCAGAGCACTTGCTGGCAAATGCTACTAAGGCAGGTACTCAATTTGAATGTCAACAAGTCTGGTGTCTCTGTAATTGGCCTGATTATGGAGGAAAGGATTTATAATGTAGAATAATGTTCTTATAAACACCCAGAGGTTGTTGGCTGATTCCCTGAGTGATTCGTTATTGCTCAGACTCTACAACCTTGGCAAATTTACGAAAGAATAATGTTCTAATAAACAAGTTGTTCACAAGTTACTCGCTTATATCTTAGGGACTGTTGTGATTGTGCATCATCCCTTGCAATTTATAATGGTAATGAAATTTAAATGATATAAATTTGCAATAAGCTGAAGGCCTGCTCTACTTAGAAACGGTAGTGATCAGAAACAAGGTAAATCTCAGTGACGGTAGAAATGTTTTCTGTGTGTTACTAAAATGTTTATGAATAGTCAATGGCTGAAGACTGGACTTGGGCTGATGTCCCTGAGCTGGGAAAATGCCAGGCTGTACCAACATACAGGGGTCTTCACGGCCATAACATGCGATGAAGCAAAAACAAGACAGCTTTGCTTAACATTGTCCTTGTTGGAGCAGCTAAGCATATTGCTCTTATCAGATGTCCACCCCTGACTGTGGTCTTCTTAATGTCCTGTGGCCGGAGCAGGAAATGCGCATAAAATAACTCTGCTGAGTGACAAAGCTCGGTGATGGCCTCGCTCCCTATTGTGCCGTTCTTTCAGCCCCATTCGAACACCATTTTACTTAAAAGTGCAACTGAAACAAAAATTGTCATTACTCTACTGGGTAAATGGCAGATATTTTACTCAGAATGAATCCCAAGAGCCTGTCACGTCAAAGTAAACAAGTGTCAGTGTGTGTCGTCACTGATGGATTTTGAGTGTTTAAGCAAAAATGAGGATTGTGGAAACCTTGTATTCTCTGCTCTGAGCTTGACAGCTTCCCAGCATGTAAGGCTTTTCTGGTTATACCAGGGATGATATTAACACGTGTGCATTTGGATATTGTGTAATGAAATGTGTCAGTATTTGGAAGAGCTGCCTAACTCAGTGAGCCAGTATTTTTCCCAAATGATTACCGTTTGATGCTACAGTGTCATGCACGGGTTAAAAAGAACCCGTGGGAAGACATTTTACCGTAACCGAATATGAAATGCTGACTGGTATGGTTCCATCTAAGGAAGCACCGCAGTGAGTTTTGGAGGCTGCCTGTGAGGCTGTGCACAGCCATCAGCTGACGCTGTGAGTTGTCGCCCCTTTTCAGGTGGCATCTGCATAAGGCTGGCTTTTCTTCATATCTTTACACAAAACCACTTTTGTCCCAGATTTGATGTAGAACTATGAGAATCCAACTGCCTTCTATTAAGATATTTAAGAGATTTGCAATGATGTAGAAACAGTGCCGCTATTCTCCTTGTATTTCATGCTTTTGATAAAATGTTATTTATTTTAACATGTATCAGGGTTATTTTAAATTAACTTAATACATAAATATTTTAATGAATTTGCTGTTGTCATTTCTAATGTGGTAAATATTGTTCACTGTAAGCCATCTACACACGAGCAGTCTGGCATCTCCTACAGTTTTTAAGAATGTCAGGTGATGCTGAGAACAAAGAGACTAAGAACAATTTATCCAGCCTGAGTCCCTAATGCTGCAGACGAGGAGACAGAGCGGGCCAGGGCCTGGCCTGCGTCCCGGGGTTCAGGGTCCCTCTTGTAAGTGACTCCACGGAGGAACACTACTTGCGTAAACACGCCCCACGCCTTTCTGCAGTTTGCCTTGTTCAAAGCATGTTTACCAGTCGGGTTCCTGCCACTGAACTGGTACCCCTTCCTTGTGAGTTCCGTCCTGTCCCCTTGCCAGAAGCTGGAAGAACGGACTACAGTGGCCATGCATCACTTTGAAAACCCTTGAGGGCTCAAAGACAGTAGACCTTTACGTATATCAAGGTCTGTGTCCCACTTCAAAACGTAAGCCAAGTTTGTATCTTCAGCATCAGGACACTTACTATGTTAGTGATTGTTTGAATTAAATTCTGCAGGAGGGGAAAGGACTTGCCTCGAGCCCCGAATATTATAGCTAAGTGGGAAAAACACTTGAAAGGAAAATTTATAAATAGGGAGTAACAAATAACATACAAGTCCAGAGAAAAACGTTTATTAACAAAAGCAACAAGTGGAAATAAAAATAAGGCAAATGAGGAAGTTATGTTTTCCTTTGTAATGATGAGTGAAAAATGCTGGTGTTAGCTGGGGGCAAAGATGTTGGGACCACTCGCTGTACCCACGTGTCGTCTGTGGTTAAAACCCACGAGTGGGATCAGCGTTTGTCCAGAGCATCACCGTTCGTGGCCACGCCTGGAAATGCGCCATGAGTCACTGGCTCAGTGGAGGGAAAACCGAGATGCTCAGGGATGCCTGCTGAAGTACACGTGACCTGGAAAAAGGAAAATGAAAAAAAAGTCTAACGTCCAGTAATTAGAAAATTATTAAAGTATCACATGTCATGGAAAGAAAGAATGTAAAAGTAGTAAACTAACTATAAAGACAAAAACCCAGAACTGTCAAAATGACCTAAGTAAAGTGCATATACACAGGAACAGACTAAATGCCAATAATTTCACAATAGACACTCTAAAGTTGGGCTGCTATGGAAAATTTTCTTTAAAAATTGGTAGCTTATTCTGGGTGTAAATAAAACGAACATATATGGCAACATGAAATGGTGGCAGTGACATCTATTCCTGAGAATTAAATGCAGTTTGTAAAGAGGAAGTCAGACTTGTCCAGTAATTTTCACTCTTAAACAGTCCTTTTACTTATCAATACAGGCGCCTGTTTAAAGTTTCTGTTATAGCTGAGTTAGCCTCACGCAGTTTTTGAAGCGTGTTCCTTAAACACCTATTTTAACGTTTAGTTCAACAGGTCCCGACCATCACAAAACAGTCAAAAGTGCAAGTGGCCTTCCCCTTCGACGAGTATTTCCAAATTGAATGTGAAGCTAAAGGGAACCCAGAACCAGCGTGAGTGCTCCTTCAGCTAAATACCTGTTTATGTGTGAAAAACCCTTTTCTGTTTTTTTCCTCTGACCATAGTAAGCTTGTTGGACTATAAATCTGCGTCAGGTGAGGATTTTCAAATGAATGATAGCTGTGTCTAAAAAGTAAAGTTTGTTATCTTACATATGTGCTTCTGCCAGTTGAAATGATGGTTACCGTAAAAAAAAAATTGTCTTCAGTTAAACACTTCACAGGGGCTTTGGCGTTGTGGGGATTTCCACAGCTGCTGCCTTACAGGTGGACAGGGAGCGAGACACCTCTGTGCTCCGTAGTGAAAGGCAGCATTTATTAAGCCAAAGCTACACATTTATAAGCGGTATTCTATCCATATTAATTAGGGCATGACTTTAAATGTGACATATATGTTGTTCAGTGAATAGGTTGTTATTGATATTTTTTAAGTTGTCACAGAAATATTTAGTCATCCCGATGGCAGGATGCTGCCTGCATGGTATATTACTAGCTATATTTTATATGAATTAAATAATTGTTGCTCTAGGGCATTGTAATCCGTGCTGAAGCTATTGCAAAGTCCCTTCTATGTTGTAGAGGGTAGTTGGAGTGAGGGCTGAGAAGCCGTGGGGGGAATTCGAGATTTTAAACTTCTTGGTAATTTAAAATGGGCAGCAAAGCCTACACACTTTTATTGATTGCTTGATTATTTTATGTCCATTACATAGATACATTTTTAATGAAAACCGATTATTTGAAATTTCATTGTGACTAACATTATTTTGCCTGATAATTTGATATTTAAAAATCTTCCATTGTAAATCATTAACATGTAAAATTATCGTTATTTCTATATTTTACCAAATAGAGTAGATTCAGTTAGGTAAAAATAGACAGAATTATATGAACTAAAGAAGAGTTTAGTCAGTCAATGTGAATATGAATCAAGCGACATTATGATATATATTAATATTATGTAACTGATTTATTATTTCAAAAGATAATCCCATACATTCATCTGAGATAATTAATGATCAAATGTATTTATTCACTGTTGAGTTTAATTATGAAATACTAGCATTTTAACTAAATTCAGAAATAAGAATAGAATATCTGCTATTAATACTATTGCTCATTTTTCTAGAGCCATGTCCAATATAATTATGTAAGAAAAGAAAATAAATACTACAAATATTGAGAAAATATGATTAAGAATTTGATTATTGTATAATTTGATATTCTACCTGAAAACCCAAGAAAGTTCACTGGACAAAAATAAAGTTTTATAATATGAAGAGTTGCATTAAGTGGTCAATTAGAAATAAATATTTTCAAAGCCTAATTAGATTCCTGTGCAAAACAATTAGAAAATAATTAGAAAACATCACAATAGTAAAAGGAACAAAGTCCAGCCATCTCAACAGCCAGTGGCAGCAAGATCAACAAAAACAATATCAAAAACATGAACAACAGGCTTACTGACAGTGACAGTGACAGTAACAACAAGAATTATGTAGGATCTAACTGGTGGATGTCTATGAAATTCTTCCTAGGATCTTAAAAGATTTGAAGGAGTGAAGAGATATAACATATCGCCAAGTGGAAATGTTTAATTCTGTATACATGAAGTAATCTCAGTCAGTATATTGGAATTTAAGCTAGATTCCATCTGTTCTTTTGGAGGTAAAACCAGCAAAGCATAAAAGAGAGACACAGAGAGAGAAGTAGCAGGCGTTGTGGACGAGAAGGCAGGGCGCTTCTCACAAGCGTGTGTCCCATGGGAGTGTGTTGAAAGAAAAAGCAGACAGGTTACTGTGAGCTATGGGGTCCTGAGGTGTAGCCACATCTCCACAGGCAATTCATAGCTGAAATGCTAAATAAAGTCAAACGGGAGGTCCCTTCGCTGGGTAAAGGCTTCTTACAGCCTTGTCCATAGCACTGGCTTGTTACATACAGGGCCGGGACTTGAACTGTATGTTTTTTTGTGTGATACAATTCTGCAGCATTTATGAAAAACTACAAAAATCCATGTATGTTATTGGTCTTTCAATCTCACTCCTGAGGAATTAGCCTAAAGAATTATTTGAATCTAAAGAACAATTTGAACAAGTACCAAAAATAAATAGAGGTGGGTTATCCCAATATTGCTCCTAGGAGGAAAAAGTGGAAATAGTAAAGTCACTAAATCATAACCATACGACAGAATATAATGTCTTTGCTGTCATTACTCGCATTGTGATAACTGGAAAAACTCAACTGGTGAAATTATGTAGGAATTTGGCCTCAAATATGTGGCATTTACTGTAGTCTCCACAATATTAGTAAAAATTGTGCATTACCTTTCTAGTTGGAAAAATTAAAAACTAAAAGAACAGAACAAGCTGCGTGTGGCCGTGTCTTGGTCAGCTCAGGCTGCTGTAACAGAAGTGCCACACAAGGCAGCGTTAGCAACACGGATGCGTTCCTCACGGTCTGGAGGGCAGGAAATCCAAGTTCAAGGTGCGGGCAGGTTGGCGTCTGGCTAGGCAGCTTCCTGCTTCATAGGCAGCCTTCTCCCTGTGTCCTGGCATGGTGGACGGGACCAGGGGGTTCTCTGGAGTCCCTTTTATAAGGACATTCATTTCATTCATGAGACTCCCATCTCATGACCTCATCCGCTCCCAAAGGCCCCACCTTCTCCCACCATCATAGTGGGGATTAAGCTTCAACAAATTGAGGGGCGGCCATAACCATCCAGTCCACAGCAGTTCATAAGGCTGCTCAGATTCTTCCGACCATTATCGTCTTCTGTTCTATTCCAGTAAACGTATTTTTCACCATAAAATGCCTTGTTTTGCCCTTTCTCTACGTTTGTTTATAAATACGTTAAGAGATGTTATGATTTGTCAGGATGACTAAGTTGGGTGTCCTCTCACAGATTCACGTGGACGAAGGATGACAAGCCCTTTGACCTCTCTGACCCTCGGATCATTGTCTCCAACGACTCCGGGACCTTCAAGATCCCCAACGAGGGGCACGTAGCTCACTTCCAAGGGAAATACCGCTGCTTTGCTTCGAATAAACTGGGGGTCGCCATGTCAGAAGAAATTGAATTCATAGTTCCAAGTAAGTATGACAACGGAGATTACATTTTACAGAGGTTTTCGTCAAGTGTTAAGTAGGTGCTGTACTGGGCACTGATGAAGTAACACATTATTAATTTGATCACTTTACACATGCCTTATATTTTGCTTATGAGGGAAGCTCTCGTCCAGGTCTTGTTACTTAGAAGTGGGTGACCTTGAAGCAACATAATTTTTCTGTGTTTTAGTAACCTTTTATCCAACATGGGAAAAATAGCTTGCGCTTCACCGCACAGGATGAGAACTACATTAAATACCTTATTACAAAGGCTCGGCTAAGTTATGCTGTGGTAACGAGTACCCCCAAGCCCATGTTAACACAAGGCTATTCCTCAACTGTGCCGTTTGCTGTGGGTCTGGCCGCTTCTCAGGGCAACTGCTTCCCACGCAGCCTCTTAGGGAGTCAGGCTGGTGGAGATGCCATCACCCTGTGGCTGTATCATGTATTACCTGTGCCACCTTGGGCAGAGTCTGGGGCAGAGAGCATGAAAATCTTCCAAGGAGCAGTTACACGGACTACTTCTCGCAGTTTGTTAGGTGGTGCAAAGCCAATCACAGAGCAACGCCTAACTTCACATGAGTGTCTGTTAGCAGAGGAGCAGCAGTAATTGGTCTATATTAGTAATGTCTTCCATAAACAATAAGCATGGAAACTGCAAACTACTCTACTGCTAAGGGTGTTATTTATCGACAGTTGTCCCCAAGAGCAAGGGCCTCCATCATCGCCGTTTGTGGAGTCTGTGCATGGGATCTCTGATGACCCAACTCCACATTTGGTCATTTGCTTTCCCTCATCTCATAATCATTTCTAGGTATCTAACATCTCATGATTCTAACCAAAGACTTGACGGAATAAATTCTGTGTATAAAACTGTCATTAGCTTCTACTTGGCAATTTCTCCCTGCGGAGTTCTAGACACTGGAGTGACAAAGAAAATTGTAGGGCCGGCCGAGTGGTGTGATGGTTAAGAACTGGCTTGGGATGCCAGAGGGCCCCAGTTCGGATCCCACATATGAGGGCCAGTGACACTGCCCTCCACAGCTAAGATGCTGAACAACAGCTCGACCTGGAGCTGGGCTGCCGTGAGTCGCTGGCGATGGCATAGGCTGCAGCCCCTGTGGCAGTGGGTTGCCATGGGCTACCGTGTGTAGCCAGCAGCCAGCGTGAGCGGCCAGCAGTCAGCAGCCGCAGTGAGCGGCCGTCCAAAAGCCAGTGACTGATCTGCCTCGCCTGGGAAGAGCGCAATGATGGTGTCAACTTGGGCCAGTGAAACAATATCCTCCACAACTAGACTGAAGAACAAAAAACGACAGCAACTTGTCTGTTCCCATCCCCAATTCCCCAATAAAAATCTTAAAAAAAATAAATAAATAAAATAAAATTGTAGGCCTCTAGGATGTGGGGGAAGAAGGTATACACACTTCTGAAAAACAAATAATGAAAAGTATTATATGTGCACCTTATTCCAAAAGTTGGGACAAGCGACTGGATTTAAATTGTTCTAAAGTCCTTATATTACTGTCGAAGAGAGAATATAGATCAAATTTAGACAATACAAGGAAAGTATGCATTAAAATTTATAGAATAATTACACTAAAATATTGAAAAAAACATGAATGATTATCAAATTGGGTGATGTGAGAAAGAGGAAGAAAAAGTAAGAAAGAAAAAAAAGAAAAAGAGATAAGCAGAAAGAAAAAATAGAAATAAATCTAAATATGTATCACTAATTGAAGATGAAAGCAAATAGACTAAATGCTCCAAGTTAATAAAAATGCTATAAACTATTTATAACATAGCACATCTAAATCATAAGGATATAGAATTGTTAAAACTAAAAGGGTGGAAGTGATATTCCAGCTGAATGCTATTCAAACGAAAGTAGGTGTGGCTATATTAATGTCACTCACAATAGACTGTATTTTTAAAAGGCTTCCTGGAGATTAATTCAGTAGGCATACATAATATTAAAATGTGTGAAATAAAAATAGAACTACATGAAGAAATAGACAAAAATGACATTTTAACACATTTCTTTCAATATTTGGTAGCTCAAGCAGAGAAAACAGCAGTCAGCACATAGAAGATTTAAAGGACAAGCTCCAGCTAGTGACCATGTGGGGACATTGTACCTAAAGCTGCAGGATGCTTTTTTCCAATATTTGATGATATAATAGCTATGGAGAAAATATGACCATATGCAATTAAGTTTGAAATCAATAATAATAATAATAATAAACTAGGAAAGCCTTCTGTCTTTGAAAATGAATAAACATATTTCTAAGAAACTCATAGGTCAAATAAGAAACGGCGAAGGGAAATAGAATATGTTTTGAAGTGACAATAGTACAAATTCTAGGAGGGAATTCAAGATGGCGGATAAGCAAAAAAAAAAAAAAGAAATTCAACAAAACATGCTTGAAGCAGCTAATGCTTTATGTAGAGATGTTTTTATCTTAAGAACTTCCATTAGAAAATAAGAAAGGGTGACAACTAATGATGTCAGCTTATTAGGTAACATAATTTTTAGGTGAAAATGAAAGAGCTAACCTAAGGTAGCAGATAAACTCAAAGAAAGTGGAGTGAAGGGAGAAAACAGTATAGATGCAGAGAATACGTCCAACAAAGAAGTGTGAAAACTTTACAGTTGAAAAGCATTTTAAAAATATCTACACAAATGGAAAAAATACTGTTTTCATGGAAGGAAGGACTCCGTAAAGCTAAAAATGTCAATTCTTCATGAATTGATATCAGGATAACTGAATAAAAATCCCTGTAGGTTGTTTATGTCTGTCTTTCTGTTTGTGGATTGTGAACAGCTAATGGACAAGTACATTTGTGGAGTAATGGACAAAATTTGGTAGAGTCTCTTGAAGAATAACCACAGATCAGGGGTACGTGGCCTTGTCAGACAGCTGCAGCCGTTCAGCCAGCCTGGCTGTGTGCAGGCCGGTGGGTCAGCACAGAGCCCAGAACAGACCCTCATACACCTGAAAACCGTGCAAAGGGCGAGCGTGCACTTCCTTCCCTCCTTCCTTTTTTAACTAAATGGTTTGGAACGACTGAGTATCCACTTACGGAAACATCTCTTTGGAGTCCTGGCTCACCTCATGTAAAAGATTCCATCCAGGTAGAGACTTAACTGTAAAGGGAAAAATATTTTCTAAAAGTAGAAAAAACTTTGGGCAATGTGAATGACCTGAGGGTGGGGAAGATCTCTTTAAACACGACGTGTTAAAGCTCCGTGATGGAGAGCATTAAAGACACATCTGACTACATTTGACCTTTAGATCCCTTCATAGAAAGACTCCAGGAAGAAAAGATAAGCCACAGCCAGAAAAAGCGTATTGCCGATGAATATAACTAAATATAGCGTTATGTATTTATGAATAATTTAACCAACCCCCAAGAAAAACAAATGAAGCGGCAGAAAAACCTAAACACACCCCAGACTGGAATAGCTAATAAAATATGAAAATTTGTTCAACATCATTAGAATTGAGAATTCGATCAGTTGTAACACACATGATACAAGCATTCGATCCCACATCACAGCTTCAGGCGGGAGCGTGCGGCTGCCAGGACCACGGACATGCTGTTGGGGCACCTCGTGGTCTGCGGGAGGCATGGCCGCCACCGCCTTAGATGAAGACACTCCCTGTGACCAGCAATTCCATGTTCTCATCCACGTGCCTGTGCCCTGGCCCATGTGCACCAGGAATGTGTGTGGGAAACACATCCTGGCGAAGACGCAAGTCCCCATCCCCAGTAGAATGAATCGATAAATTGTGGTACATTTTCACTAAAAATACTGCTCGGCAGTGAAAACGCTGAACCCTGGGGACATTAACAAAAGCAAATCTTGTAAGAATACATACTGTATTATTTTATAACTTTAAAAATATGTGAAAAGAAAATTTCATTTAGCAGAATAATTCTGTGGTCAAATTGTAATGAAAAACAAGAGGTTGATACAAAGACAATTCAGGAGAGTAATTACCTCTGACAGAATGGCGGGGAAAGGTCACGGCGATAGTGTGCCTTTTGTGTAAAGGCTGGTGGGCAAAAGAGTGTTCGTGTGTTTCTTTATATTTTTTATGTCACTTCATAAATGACCTTTTTTGTGTATGTAAAGTGAATAAGTATGTAGCATGCTGATTTGTGTGAATTAGATGTACCAGGTTATTAAGTAAGATATCGTTGCATTGTAATGGACGAAGCAGTGACATATAAACTTGGAAAAGGCCTTGGGACTGTGGGGTTAAAATGACATTCAATAGGAAATGTTAATGAATTCAGAAAGTATTACCGTGAACACTGCGGTTGAGAATCATAAAACTAGATCAATCGATCCATCTATCTACCCATCCATCTACCCATCTATCAGCCAATATCTACCTATCTGAAATAAGTCAACTGAAATAAGGTGTGTGGGAGAGATGGATTATTAAAACTCTGGTGTAGAAGACAAGGCGTTGGGGTGATCCTGAACCTGGATTCTAGTGGTTGCTATGGAGACACCAAGGAAAAGGCAGCAGCTAGGCCTATTTCAGAGAAGGAAATGACACATTTTAGTGTACGATTCCGCAGTGAAAGGATTTTTAAAAATATTTTCATCACGATCTCAGCAGACCGAGTGAAGACATGAGCAATGCCAGGGTGGTTCTGGGTGGAACGGCTGGTCTCGTAGTTAGCGAGGAGAGCTGGGTCTGTGCTGTGTCGTGGGTAATTGCCCCATTTTTCTGCTGCTGAAAAGAGGGGAAAATCAATTAGGTTTCTTATGCATCATTTCCAGTCTCTCCTGAGACTACTTCCTCCCTGAGCAGCTTCCTCTGATCCTTTGACGCATATGTTGAATGGGGCCATGAGCACGATTCCTACGAATTTATAAATCAGAGGCCATTTAAAGCTTTCTGCAGCCTTTATCAATTGAGTCGTCTCTTAAACTGTAGAGATTTGATTCTTTTTTTATAGTGTTAGAA